GCACACTTTAATCCAAGTCAGTTGTTTTAAAAAAGTGGGCAACCTACATCTCTATGAGTAATGCAATAAAGAGTGGATGAAATGGTAAGCCATCCCTTGTACTAGAAAAACAATTAAAGAAAACATTCCCACTTCGTCATCTTCTGACCACATTATACAGCAGTAGAAACTGGTTTCCATCCCCTCAACTCTTCTGAAAATGCCAATGACCCCCTGACTGCTGCCCCATTGCCTTGTTTGGAATTCATCTTTCTTGATGTTTCATTGCATTCCACATTAGTAACCACTCTCTCCTAACTAAAACACTTCTCCATGGGCTTTCACAGCACCATTTCTTCCTTGTTTTTCTCCAGTGTCTTTGGCTACACCTTCTTGGTCCTCTTATAGAGTTTTTTAAAATATTTTATTGTGTTTAAGGTGAAAGTTTACACAGCAACTTATGCTTCCATTTAACAATTTCTACACAAATTATTCAGTGATGTTGGTTATATTTTTCACAATATGTCATCATTCTCTTTCATTCCATTCTGGTTGTACCATTTCTAGTACTCTAGTTTCCCTGAACCCTTGCCTTCTCATCTTTGTCATTAGGTCTTATTTAGATGATTTTTTAAAGGAGCTCATTACTCACAGATGATATTCTTTATTATTACTCTATTACTTAGCTAAAAGGCGACCTCAAGGGATACTTTTGGTTTAAGGTTTAAAGTGTATCTCACAGCAGTAGTCCCAGAGAGTTCTCTAGTCTCAACTGGTCCACTAAGTCTAGACTTTTTAAGAATTTGAGTTCTGCTCCACATTTTTCTTCTATAAGGATACATTTATTGTGGCCCTGATCATAACAGTTGGTAGTGGTAGCAGGCACCATGTAGTTTTCCTGGTCTCAGAGTAGATCTCTCATAGATTCTTGCCCCTTAGTTGTAGGTATTTTCCAGGGACCCATTTTCAGATATTTCTGGCTTTTCCCAGTCATTTTTACTCCTTTCTGGGGTTCATCTTCCAAATCCATACCTCAACTCATACCTGCTGCTGACCTTCAAACCTACAGCTGCCCACAAAACATTTGCACCTGAGTTTTAGCAAACTCCCCTCAAATGCCTGTGTGCTGGCCTCAATAGTGTGTTCCCCTCTAAAGACACCCCTCCTCACTGACCCTGAGAAAGTTAGTTTAATTTGACCCCTACTCCCTCCAACACCAGTCTTCAAACCCATTTCCACCTCTGCAAAGTATTCTCCAATCTGTTCCTCCTTCCTATTCTCACTAGCCACATTCTCCTGCTATGACTGCACTTCTTTTCCCCAAGAGCTCTCTATTCTCATCCATTCTTCACACTGACACCAAAGACAACAGTCAAAAACAAAGGTCTGATCGTGTTCTTCCCTACTGAAACTCACCAAGGCTCTCCTTTGCTTATAAGATGAATTCTGAACAAAGCATGGATTAACAGGCCCTTCACATTTGTACCCAAAACACATATTTAGCTCATTTGTTATCATCCCTTTACATCCTAGTCATACCAACCTTCTTTCCATTCTCCAAACTGGCCATTCCCATGTTATACCTCTCTGATATTGCCAGTGCTGTTCCTGTGCTTAAATCCTTTTCCTTGTCTGCCAGGTGACCCCTTATTCATCTTTTAGTAACAAGGCTAAATATCTGTTCCTCTGGGAAAACTTCCCAACATTTCCTTCACCTTAAGGGCCCCCATAGGCAAACCCCTCCCTCCCTTCAATAGAATCCCTATGGCTGTTTGCATGTACTTAACTGTAAACTTTTAGCTACTGGATTATAATTTCTACTTAGAAATTGGATCAACTTTTATGGACTATAAACTCCTTAAATAGGGATCATGCTGTCCTAATTACCTAAGACCAGAAAATCTATCTTCATCAAGTCGATTCTGACTCATAGACTCATAGTGATCCTTATAGGGCAGAGTAGAAATGCCCCCATAGTGTTAACAAGGCTGTAAGCCTTTACAGAAGGAGACTACCACATCTTTCTCCCTCACAGGAGCTGGTGGGTACAAACTGCCAGTATTTCAGTTAGCAGTCGAGTGCTTAACCATTGCACCACCTTGTTGTTGTTGTTGTTGTTAGATGCCATCGAGTCGTCTTCGACTCATAGTGACCCTATGCACAGCAGAACAAAACACCGTCCAGTCCCACACCAGCTCTGCAATCCTCACTATACTTGAGCCCATCACTGCAGCCACTGTGTCAATCCATCTCATTGAGGGTCTTCCCCTCTTTCGTCGACCCTCCACCTTACCAAGCATGACATCCTTCTCTAGGGAATGGTCCCTTCTGATAACATGACTAAAGTACGTGACACGAAGTCTGGCCATTCTCACTTCCAAGGAGCATTCCGGCTGCACTTCCTCTAGGACAGATTTGTTAGTTCTTTTAGCAGTCCATAGTACTTTCAGCATTCTTCACCAGCACCACAACTCAAAAGCATCAATTTTTCTTTGGTCTTCCTTATTCATTGTACAGCTCTCACATGCATATGAGGCGATTGAAAATTTCATGGCTTGTGTCAGGGGCACCCTAGTCCTCAAGGAGACATCTTCTCTCCTTAGCACTTGAAAAAGTTCTTTTGCAGGCAACTTACCCAGTGCTGTACATCATCTGATGTCCTGACTGCTACTTCCATTGGTGTCAATTGTAGAACCAAGCAATGTGAAGTCTATGACAACTTCAAACTTTTCTCCATTTATCATGATGCTGCCTATAGGTCCAGTTGTAAGCATTTTTGTTTTCTTTGTATTGAGGTGTAATCCATACTGCAGACTGTATTCTTTAATCTTCATCAGTAAGCTCTTCAAGTCATGCTCATTTTCAGCAAGCAAAGTTGTGTTGTCAGGGTATCACAGGTTGTTAATGATTCCCACTCCAATCTTGATGCCATGTTTTTCTTTATATAGTCCAGCTTCTTGGATTATTTGCTCGGCATACAGATTGGATAAGTATGGGAAAAGGATACAACCCTGACCCACTCCCTTCTTGATTTTAAACCATGCAGCATCCCCTTGTTCTTTTTGAATGACAGCCTCCTGGTCTATGTACAGATTCCTCATGAGTACAATTGAGTGTTCTGGAGTTCTCATTCTTCTCAATGTTATCCACAATTTGTTATGATCCACACAATTAAATGCTTTTGCATAGTCAAGAAAACACCTTTCTGGAATTCTTTGCTTTCAGCCAAGATCCATCTGACATCAGCAATGATATCCCTTGTTCTACGTCCTCTTCTGAATCCAGCTTGTGCCACCATGGCTCCCTCTTATTTATCTATGTGTCCCTAATGCCTGGAATAGTACTTACCTGGCACAGAGTAAATACTTAACACTTGATGAGTAAACTCCCAACAGTTGGTGAGTATTAGCTAATAATGCATGCCAAAGATACAAATGAAGACTAGTTCCAGTTGCAGTGTTTCACTTATTATTGCCATGCGAACCATTAATGGTATCCTGATTTAGCCGCTTACTGTTTTCTAGCTTTAGATTTACCCTGGTAACTGTTGGGCTCAGCACTCAGTGTCAGACTACCCAGTAAATGAGGTAAGCATGGGCATGCTTGTGCTTACTTATTAATTGTAGTAATTTCACATTTTTTCACCACATCAAAGATTCTGCTTCTAGAGCTCTCCCAACCCCACAGCCCCTTCCTATAGTATCAAAGTCTCTTTTCAAATTTACAATCCCTGTTTGGATGGAGTGCCCAGTTAGCAAGGTAAGCCTGAGCTTGCCTTGTTTATTGGCTAATCCATCCGTCAGCATGCCTCACTCAATTGCTCTCACCCACCCACATGTGGTATACACTTTTACAGGCCATAATAATGTCATTCAATTGGTCTGTGTTTAGCAAAGTTAGGCTTGTCCCTATGACTGGACAATGAGTGTAAATGGAATCATTATCCATTCTCACAAAAAACATACATATAAGGAAGGCAGAGATTATATGACTGTCTAATACCTTGTGCTTGTGAGAGAATGAACTCCTTGTTGTTGTTGTTATGTGCTGTCAAGTCGTCTCTGACTCATAGCAACCCTGTGTACAACAGAACAAAACACTGCCCGGTCCTGTGCCAGCCTCACGATCCCTGCTATACCTGAGCCCATCGCTGCAGCCACGTGTCAATCCATCTCGTTGAGGGCTTTTCCCTTTTTCATTGACCCTGCACTTTACCGAGCATGATATCCTTCTCCAGGGAATGGTCCCTTCTGACAACATGACCAAAGTAGGTAAGACGAAGTCTGGCCATTTTACCTTCCAAGGAGCATTCCGGCTGCACTTTTTCCAAGATAGATTTGTTTGTTCTGGAATTTGTACATCATACTACAGAGAATGTAGAAGCATTGAGATTTTATTTTATTTTTTTATGACAGCCAGTCCAGTTGCCATGGAGTCGACTCCAAGTCGTGGCGAGCCCGTGTATGTCAGAGTAGAACTGTGCTCCATAGGATTTTCAATGGCTTGCTTTTTGGAAATAGATTGCCACTCTTTTCTTCCCAGGCACCTTGGTTGACCTTGGACTTGAACCACTAACCTTCTGGTTAGCAGCTGAACACATTAACCATTTTCATCACCTAGGAATTCTCTCTTATTATGACAAAGAACTACAATGCAAAACACAATACACAGCCACAGAGTCGGAGCCGACCCATAGCAAGCCCTCCTTGGGTTTCTGAGGCAATATCACTACGGAAGTAGATTGCCCAACCTTCCTTCCGAGGAGCGCCTGGTGGATTTGAACCACCAGCCTCCTGGTTAGGAGTCAAATGCCTTAGGCACCACACCACCAGAGCTCCCTGACAAATAACTACAGTAAAGAAAATAAAATTTATTAGTCACGTTCTTGCAAAAACTGAGGTTACTTAAATAAAATAATGATTCACTTTATTAAAAGCTGCCCCCAAAAGACCCACTGGATTGAAAAAAGAAGAAAGAAGAAAGAATGTTTTTAGTATGTTTTGTCTTCTAGGGAAACATACCTGATGCTTGTGTTCCAGAAGGGCTGCTTCCCAAGTCCATATGTCATATAGCACAGCAAACCTGTCCACACCTGCGTGGGCCCATCCCCAGTCCTCGCTGGTCCTAGACTTGCTGTCCTCTTTGTGACCTGGGAGACAAGGTAGGGGATCATTAGAGACAGAAGAGGCTGCTCTTGTTATTAACGTGTCCATTGTCAGCTCTATCTCAGGAATGGAAACACTAACCCAGTCATAGGATTCCCGAGAATTAGCTAAAGAGCCATCTGCAAGGACCAGGCCCTCAGTTCATACTTGTTGATTTCTAAGTCAAGAGATTTTGTTTTTCCTTTCAAATTTTAGTTTTATAGATTAACTTTAGGAATAAAACTAAAATTCCATTAACATGAAGTCTATGCTAAAATGTCCTTAAATCTGTGATTTAAAGGCATTCTAAATATCTTCTCTAAAAACATATCTCTGGTGTTTTACCAATAATTCTGATTTAACCTGCCATTTCAATTGATGGTAGCCAAGTCAAAATTTTTGTGAGATGTTTCTAAGATATTTCTTAATTATGTTAATTACTGACTTAAAGCAATAAAGGCAATTGTTATTCTTCAGCTGAAATATTTTTCCAATGCATTAATGTTAGTTTTCACTACCCACATTATTATTGCTTTTTAAATTTTAAATGATTTATTTCAGAATGAAATATGAGAAGGCAAGAGAGCTTCAGGTGTTAAGTTCAATAACGATCAAATGTATGATAACCACTGAACTAGGAAAGACTGACCAGAAACTTCTCTAGCAGCACTTGGGAAGTCATTTCAAAATGGATGACTCAATTACTAGCTCAACTAAAAGATGTCCAGGTAGCTAAACAACTACTAAGTGCTTTAAGAAATTAAATTCTAAGCAGCTGGAAATAGTTTGTGGCACTATAAATTAATGTAAACAAAAATGATGTATTAATATGTAAGATAATCAGTAAAGACAAAAGAAAAGAGCTGAAATTAAATGTCCAGAGTGTTGGACGCCATCTCCGCATCCTGTGATTCAGATGCCAATGATTCTGGCAAAGATAGGACAAAGAGTTCAAACCCTCTATTAAATTAATTCTGTCTGGGTTTTGAAAGGTTAATTGCCAAATAAATATTCTTGGAGCAGCATTTTATAACAATGTGAACATCAATTAACCTTAATCACAAGTCTGCATATATTACAAAAGAGCACAGACTTTTGCATTTATTTCTCTTTAGGTGTTACAATGTGTCTGGAAACTCTTTCCAAATCCAAAGCTAATGCTGCCCTATTATTCTGAAAGCAATATTCTTACCTCACTCATTTCTAAAATTGGATAAATTTGAGCGATGCTCAAAGGAAGAGGAGATAGAGTTTATGAGTTACTTGATTAGCCTGAAGGAGCCCTGGGAGCATAGTGGTTAAGCTCTCAGTTGCTAACTGAAAAGTTGGTGGTTCAAACCTACTAGCTGCTCTGTGGGAAAAAGATGTGGCAGAACTTCCTTAAAGATTTACAGCCTTAGAAGCACTATGGGGCAGTTTTACTTTGCCTTACAGTGTGGCAATGAGTTGGAATAAACTTGACAGCAATGGGTTGCTTGGCCTGAGTAATTATTTCTCCCTTTGGGTCTTTTCTACCCAGATCTTCTTGCATCATGGTGGTTTCCTGTTAGGAACCCAGGGATGTCTCTGTCCTGAATGCAATTTTCTCAAGATCTAGCACTTCCTGTCACTTAGAGGAAAAAAAAAAAAAATCATGACCTTCACTTGTTTACTTTGCTTCCCCCAGGGCCTTGTACCATTCTCCCTGCACCCAGTGAGTGATCCAGAAATGCCACTGGGCAGAACACAGAGTGTAAACAAGAGCAAGAATTAGAAATGAGGCCTGAAAGGGAAGTCATAGTCCCCAACAAAAGAGGAACTTGAGCTGGAAATAAAACAATACCTTTTCTAAAATGCGTATGTGTAAGTGTGGTGTAGGGGAAAGAAGAATATGTGCTTGTTGACTTCTCAGATACTATGGAATATTTGTTTATAGGTCGGGGTAACCAAAATCAATTGCCATTGAGTTGACTAACTACGGTGACTCCACGTGCATTAGAGGACAATTGTGCTCCATAGGAGTTTCAGTGGCTGAGTTTTCAGAAGTAGATCACCACGCCTTTCTTCTGAGGTGTCTCTGGGTGGACTTGAACCTCCAACCCTTTGGTTAGCACCTGGGTGTGCTAACCATTTGCAGTTCTCAGGGATCCCTGTGTTGGGATAGGGGAGTGTTAAATGGAGCCCTTCGTGTTGTTTGCTTGGTTAATTACTTGATTCTTTAAAAATTCAACTTCTCCTGGAGAGAACAATCATGGGAGAAGGAAGGGCTGCTTATGCACAGGGAGACAGCTCAGGGCACAGAAGAATATGGAGGGATGGACACTGGGAAGAGGTAACTATGGGGAGGAAGTGGGAGGGGAGCTGTTGCATTGCAAATTTTGGTCAATGACATGAGACAAAGTATATGTGAACTGCTATATGAAAAGTGAATTTACTCTGTAAATCTTCACCCAAATCAAAATAAAATTAAAAAAATAAAATAAAATAAAAAATTCAACTTCTTACTTTTCTCTTTCTCTATGTAATAGCTGGCCACAAGCAGTAGCTCTGTTTCTAGTTCCTTCAGATCACTCAAGGCTTCATCATACATGACATATGCTCCTTGCTGGTCCTGTGTGTGGATGTAGCCAGCTCCTGTGCTGTAGTAGTCATCTTGGTTCTCCACTTCTGAAAATTCCATGAACTGCATACTGTGGACCTGAAGAAAGAAAGCCAAGCCTAGAAGTTTCCAGAGAAAGAAGAGCTGTATCTTGCCAGCCAAAATGAATCAACCAGCAAGCTTCTGCTCCCACACAGTGGGCTACTGGCATGGAACTGCAAACATTCTAACAATATAAAAATCGGTATGTAGAAAAAAATATATTTTAAAAGAACATGGGAGTTGAAAAGAGAGATCCTGAGGTAGATACTAGCTGATTAGTTTGCTTTTATGACTAACTCAGGATTAACTAGAAAAAGACAGGCTGGTGGTTAGAAGTGGGCTCTGGAGTCAGAGTGGGGGGCTTCAGATCCCAGCTCTGCCAGGATCTCACCTGAGACAAGTCACTCAGCTACTCTTAGTCTCAGTTCCTTCATCTGTAACACAGGGACAGTGGAGACACCACAGAGTTGTGGGGAGAATGTGAGATCATGCATGTAGGGCTTTTAGGATTCATTAACCTTATAAAATATTTTTATATGAATTTTATAACTATAAAATGTATAGTTTAAATATAAAATTATAATTTTAGAAATTTATCAAATGCCTTAGCACAATCTCTTGTCTTAGTCTACTGTCACAATTTTTTTCCTTAGGTGGTTGAGGACCTATTGCTTCCTGAAAACATTATTCTGATAATAATTCTCATAATTTCAAACTTCTCTGCTGTCCTGAAGCATCTAAACCCACGCTATCCCCAAATGAAACCCCTCAAATTCTGCCTCACATATACACACCCACCCATGCCTCTCTTTTCTACCTTCTTCCTGCACAGTAGAGGAAATGACACTCCCCCCTAAGGTCATCAACCATTCGATGTAATATGTTATGCCAATTGAGTTTGATGGGACCATGACCATGGTCCCAAGTCCACGGGCCCAACAATTCGCTCCCTCAGGGTGGTTGGCTGTGGCAAAGAAGTTATCATAACTTCACCACCAGTTAACTCTATAACATATACAAATATGTATGTAGAAATATCATCTGCCAAACTTATATATAAAAAACAAAACCAAACTTGCTGCCATGGAGTCAATTCCAACTCATTGAGACCCCGTTTGGGTTTCTGAGGTGATAAATCTTTACAGAAGTAGATTCATTTAGCCTGTCTGCCTATGTATACACCTGAAGCAGTCAAATGCCTCAGGCACAATGCCACCAGAGCTCCCACCTATGTATCCACCTGTAGATTAATGTTTGTTGTTACTGATAATGCAGTACTGTGTAGGTAAGTTTTTATCTTTGTTGCCTGAATCATTCTTGACTTCTCCCTCGGCCTCACCCTACAAGTCTAAGTATCACTGCATTCTGTTGATTTCACTCCCTTTCTCTCATATCCATTCATCCTTTCCCTCTCCACCACTTGCTATCCTACTCCACACTGTTTTTTTTTTTCTTATAGTAATTTTTTTTTCTTATAGTAATTTTTTTTTTAATTGTGATTTGGATGAAAGTTTACAGAGCAAATTCACTTTCCATACAGCAGTTCACACACACATTGTCTCATGACATTGACCACAATTTACCCCAATGCAACAGCTCCCCTCCCACTTCCTCCTGATAGTTACCTCTTCCCTGTGTCCATCCTTCCACACACTCCTGCCCCCTGAACTGTCTCTCTGTGCATAAACAGCCCCTCTTTCTCCCATGATTGTTCTCTCCAAGGAGTGTATCTACCTCAAGTGCATGTTTAACTCATATCCCTGCCTTTTGTTTGGCTGAAAGCCACAGGTGTACTCCACATTGTTATCTTTCACTGGTTTAGGACTAGTCTAAACCAAGGGAGCTCTGGTAGCATAGTGCCTAAGGCACTTGACTGCTAACCAGAAGGCTGGCGGTTCAAACCCACCAGCCACTCCTCCGAAGGAAGATGGGGAAATCTACTTCCATAGTGATACTGCCTCGGAAACCCAAAGAGGGGTCACTATGAGTCGGGTCCGACTGGATGGCACATAACAGCAACAACAGTCTAAACCAAAAACCAAACCTATTGCTGTAGAGTTGATTCCAACTCTTAGCAACCCCATAGGATAGAGTAGAACTGCCATATAATCATAATTCAGCCTATAATCTTTACAGAATTTGATTATCAGTCACATTATCAGTCCCACAAAGTGGATGTTGGGTTCGAACTGATGACCTTTTGGTTAGCAGCCAAGCAATGAATCACTGTGCCACCAGGGCTCCTTAGGACTAATCTAGGAGTTTCTGAACTGGCCTAGCCTATCCTTCTCCATTTTTTTACTGCTCTTAGAGAATCTTTTAGATGGTTATATAATTTTCCCATCCCCCCCACAACTCTTGTTATTGTTAGGGGGTATCTAAGTCCCAACTAAAAATGGCCCTTGTACAACAAAATGAAAAACTGTCCAGTCCTGTGCCAGCCTGAGCAACCATTGCTCGGCTTCGAGCCCATGTTGCTGCCACTGTCCATCTCATTGAGGGCCTTCGTTTTCACTGACCTTCTACTTTACTAACCAAGATGTCCTTCTCCAGGTACCTCGTCCAAAGTACCTGAAACAAAGTCTCACCATCCTCACTTCTAAGGAGCATTCTGGTTGTACTTCTTCCAAGACGGACTTGTTTGTTCTTCTGGCAGTCCACAGTATATGCAATATTCTTCACCAATACCATAATCCAAATGTATCAATTCTTTGAACTTCTTTATTCATTGTCCAGCTTTCACATGCATGTAGGACAATAGAAAATACTATGGCTTAGGTCAGGCACACCTTAGTCTTCAAGGTGACATCTTTGCTTTTTAACATTTTAAATATTCATTTTGCAGCTGATTTGCCCAATGCAATATGTCTTTTGATTTCTTGGCTGCTGCTTCCATTGGTTACTGATTATAGATCAAATAAAATGAAATCCATGACAACTTCAATTTTTTCTGTTTATCTTGATGTTTCCTATTGGTCTAGTTGTGAGGATTTTTGTTTTCATTATGTTGAGGTATAATCCATACTGAAGGTTTTAGTCTTTGATCTTCATCAGAAAGTGCTTCAAGTCCTCTTCGTTTTCAGCAAGCAAGGTGTGTCATAATATATTGGAGGTTAATGAGTCTTCCTTCAATCTTGATCCTATGTTCTTCATATAGTGCACCTTCTGGGATTATTTGCTTAGCATACCAATTGAAGAAGTATGGTGAAAGGATGCAACCCTGACATACACATTTACTGATTTTAAACCATGGTCTATGTACAGGTTCTGCTTGAGCACAACTAAGTGCTTTGGAATTCTCATTCTTCAAAATGTTATCCATAATTTGTTATGACCCACAAGTTAAATGCCTTTGCACAGTCAATAAAACACAGGGAAGCATCCTTCTGGTATTCTCTGCTTTCAGCCAAGATCCATCTGACATCAGCAATGATTTATCTCTCATTCCACATACTATTTTGAATCCAGAATGAATTTCTGACACTTCCCTGTTAATGTACTGCTGCAACTGTTTTTAAATTCTCTTCAGCAAAATTTTATTTGTGTGTGATATTAACAATATTGTTTCATAATTTCAGCATTCTGTTGGAAAACCTTTCTTTGGAATGGACAGGAATATTGATCTCTTCCAGTCAGTTGGCCAGGTAGCTGTCTTCCAAATTTCTTGGCATAGACGAGTGAGTGCGACCAGTATCACATCCATTTGTTGAAACATCTCAATTGAAAATCTGTCAGTTCCTGGAGCCCTGTTTTCCACCAATGCCTTCATTGCAGCTTGGACTTCTTCATTCAGTACCACTGATTACTGATCATATACTACCTCCTGAAACAGAGTAACGTTGGCCAATTCTTTTTGGTATAGTGACTCTGTGTATTCTTCTACCTTCTTTAGATGCTCTTGCATCATTCAATATTTTGCCCATAGAATTCTTCAATATTGCAACTTGAGGTCTAATTTTTTCCTTCAGTTCTTTCAGCTTGAGAAATGGTGAACTAGCTCCAGATCTTTTACATTTCATTATAATACTTCATTTTGTCTTCTCATGCCACCCTTCGAAATCTTTTTTTCAGCTTTTACTTCATTTCTTCCATTCACTTTAGCTACTATACACTAAGAGCAAGTTTCAGGGTCTCTTCTAACATCCATTTTGGTTGTGTCTTCATTTTCTGTCTTTTTAATAACCTTTTGCTTTCTTCATGTATGATGTCATTGATGTCATCCAACTACTTGTCTAGTCTTTGGTTACTAGAGTCAAATCTATTCTTGAGATGTTCTCTAAATTCAGACGAGATATGCTCAGGGTTGTACTTTGGGTCTTGTGGACTTATTTTAATTCAGCATCAACTTCAATTTGCATATGAGGAACTGATGGTCTGTTCCACAGACAGTCCAAGGTCTTGTTCTGACTGATGATATTGAGTTCTCCATTTTTTTTCCCCCAAAGATGTAGTCAGTTTAATTCCTGCATATTCCATCTAGCAAAGTTCATGCTGTTGAAAAAAAGTATTTACAATGAATAACTCATTGGTCTTGCAAAGTTCTATTGTGTGATCTCCAGCATCATTTCTATCACCAAGGTCATATTTTCCAACAGTAGTTGTTTTCATTATGTTGAGGTGTAATCTTCATTTCCAACTTTTGCATTCCAATCACCAGTAATTATCAATGCATCTTGATTGCATGTTTGATTAATTAAAGACTGCAGAAATTGGTTAAAATCTTCAGTTTCTTCATTTTGGGCATTAATAGTTATTGTGTAAATTTAAATAATAGTCATATTAGCTGGTCTTCCTTGTAAACCAAAACCAAACCTACTGCCATTGAGTCAGATCTGACTCACAGCGACCTCTCCTTGGGTTTCTGAGGAAATATCACTATGGAAGTTGCAAAAAGGGCAAGGAGGCCACACCTTCCAACCTCCTCTAACCCTACAAGAGGAAGACAGGATTACCAGCAGAAACCCAAAGCCTATTCCTATAAGGCCAGACATGCTGCCTCCCTCCAGCCCTTTCTCCAACTGTTCCTCCCAAAGCACCCACCACCTCTCTCCTGGGTT